AAAATTTGCGCTTGTTAGTGTGGTTTGTGTTCAAATGTTTTGAAAAGTGTATTTAGCGATCAGTTGTAAACTGAGAAAATGGCTTGCCTGTTAAATTAAAGCAGATGATGTGATGCTGAACCCGTACTGATATTTTTGCACCAAAAGTAGATGAATATACATGTATTGGACTGACGTTAGAAGTTTTAACTTTGCTCGTGTAAGTGTTGTTTTGTGTATTTGAAAATGATATCTCTTACAACTACAAGACCAACTGAGTTTGCTTTCATTTTGGCAAAATTAACGGAAAACTAGAAAGGCCAATATTTGCTTTGGAGCAAATACAGCGATGGCTTCACCACATTTTACGACATGGCAGGGAAAGAATGAGAAACACAAGGGAAAACAATGCTTTACATTGATATAACTATAATATGAAGTAACATACAACTAAGACTACAACAGTTGGCTAGCTATTCCCTACATTATTGGTTAGGATTTTTAATTGCATAATGCAAACTGTTGATTTTCTAAAAAAAAAAAACGTTACATGCCCCGCATTCCAATGCTGGAGCAGGAAAGCTTGAAATACCTACCAAAACACTTGAATACAGACATACTGTCAGTATGGAAATGGTCTGTGCAGGTGTTGATCAAGTTAAATCCCAACAGCCAATCAGCAAGAAGAAGAGAGGAAAGCTGCATGCCTATTGGTTGATACCCTGCATTCCAATGTGATGACTCATGCCAAATGTGGTTAACACTGCCCACTGACACAGTAATACATTTGCTATAATACAGCCAAAAAACTCAAATAAAACCATTCTAAAAGCCTGTATCACAAAAATTTAAAAAACGCCTAAGGGTATTTGCCCACTGTACCTCCATACCAAATTTCAGATCCTTAGGCCCCAAAATGAAGAAGCTGAATCCATTTAAAAAAATGGCAGGAGGAGAAGGAGGAGAAGAAGAAACATCAGAGAAAACAATATGGTTTCACCAGACCACTTCGTGGTCTGGTGAAGCCATAAAAATTATACGCTTAACAATCAATAAACCGATAACGCTTAACGTTGAATTAGAGTGAGTCGGCTACGATTAACGATGAATTAAAACAGCACGTAACGCTTAACGGAAAAGGGCATGCATGCCTTCCAATATGCGGGAAAATATCAATACACAAGCAGAGAGAACACCGCCATACTATTTGCTACTATTTAAGGCACGACATGAAAGGAACTAAGTCCACACTAACTTAATTTTATTGATTACAATCTCTGAAGACCCCCAAACTAGTGTGCGGGGGCGAACAAAAAATTCCAGCCAAAATGCTACTAAACCACGGGAATAGAAAGCTGATATTGTTGAGATGCGGTAGTAGCGTAGCGACCTTTACGACAAGACGGAACACACGGGCCTTTGAGAGTCGACATTGTACTTAGTCCTAAAGTTCTGTGGAACCTGGGTGCCATCCTGTGTAGCCTGTAGTTACCGCTGGCTCCCTATTGTCGGTAGCTACCATTGACGATGGAAGAGAGGCTTCAGCCACAGATGTTTTAGAACAGGCAAAAAATCATTGCGCTCGCGGATGTCGCCCATTCTATTAAATCGGTGTGTTGTAATATAAACGTCAATATGTTTATAGTAGGTAACGTTCCCAATTTAAGTAACTGAAATTTCATATTTTAAGGTTAATTTCCCGGAAATAAAAGGGTTTTTTAAACAATGCACATCCGTGACACACTCAACAAACGAAATAACTTCTGTCGGTGACATCGCAGGATATAAAAATAAATGTGTAATAGAAACAGAAATATCTTTGAACAGCATATAAGGTAGCCACATGAAAAAAAAACTTGAAGTTACATCACAGGTAAGTTGGTTGTGCCTTAGGCCATGTTGATTTGATTATATGGATGACATCCTCCGGGAACCCCAAAACTGATGCGCGCGTGCGAATAAAAAAAAAGTTTTGCAAAAAAAAAAGTTCTTTTCATTATGAAATCAACGTGGTCATGAGGGTTGAGCAAATGGCACAGAATATGGTTTGGCGAATAATCTAGTCTTCAAGTTCATTTCTTTACAATTTCGTCTTTTTTCGTTTGATTTTGGCATTCTACGACATTGGTATAGTTTTTATTA